ACCGGCGTGGCCGATCTTTTTAACCTACCGAAGTCCTGAATCGTGCGGCTTGACAGCCGAGTGACATTATTATTGGTAGGATAGGTTTAGTTTTAATTTACCCATGGCCGCATATCTCTGTGGTCTAACGGAAACCTGCGAACAAGTTAAAATTTTCCAATAGCATTTCTTATTTCGTCAGGGCACTTCACAAATTTACATCAAAACTCGGACTTCGTCCGATATTGAAAATACCGGGCAGATACCCTTGTCAGGGTTTCTGTTTCGACAACATTCCCAGGCCGCATTGAATGACTTCCATGTCATTCATTTTTATCCAAACACAATATCAGAGGTGTTCACCAGGAAAATCCTGGCAGATAACCTCCCCCTTCCATCAATTATGAACTCAAACTGTTGACCTGATGCCTTAAATTCTTGTGGACTTCTTTTCAGATGGTTCCAGCATCATCCCACTGGCGGCCACTCAAAATTTCGTCTCTCAGAATGGTACAGGAAGCCCTCCAGCTAGATCCAACATAATCCAATTAATTGATACTGCTATATTCAATTAAGGAATTCCCTTGAATGCCGGGAATTTAACCCGGGTCTCTTGAGTTTACGGGGATGCTTTTCTCAACACCTCGACGTACACAACGCCGCCATGAATTTAACCTGGGTCTCCCATACACACAAGGATACTCACATTATACTACAGTCAGGGAAGACATCAAAACAAAAAAGCCTAAAGTATTTCATCATCATTTACTGAAAAACTTGCGTTTAACCTATTTCCCCAAATGATTCAGGATTAACCCTTGACAGGTCTTTCAAATTGTATCGTTCTCCTGGATTTTAACCATTCATGAGAGGAATCACCCATCCACTTCTTCTTGTCATTCATCCAATAGTGTGAGCTCATCTTTCAGATACTCGATAACATATCAAGCAGGACTATTGTGACTCTGATGTGCTTAGCGTCGAGGAGTAGTGTAAACCTTTTAAGGACAGCATCCCGACATCAAGCCCCGCTTTAGATTCGGGCCTGACCACCGTCCCTCCGATTTCGATTTTATGACCTTATCATTCTGTTGCCAATAGAATAGGACAGCCTTGGGCACACAACCAAAGGTTGGTCAAACCTTAGTTATGAGGATAAGGTGACCCTACCTACTTGAAGGTTAGGAGACCAACCATATCCTGGCAGTAAATCGTGGTCGCCTACTCTACAGACAGCGTCCTGATAAAACCACAAAACTTGCTCCCTTTTAATGGTAATGTAGCCACTTCCTTCCACAAGGAAGGGGACAACATCCCGCTATGGACCAGGAATAATGTTCCGGCACGGGCCTCATTACCGCTTACAGAGTTCACACCTTTCAGAATTTTGTCTCAACAGGATATGCGATAGAGTATATTCAAGTCATACATTGCATTCCATTTTACATGCATAGTCATTCACAAAACATACACTCAGTCATTCAGAGAAGAATATTCACGATAACACACATGCAAAAGACACAGTTGAGAGTCAAAAGTCACCACCACTTTTATCGCAACATTTTATTATTGGATCATAATGAGATCCAGAATAAATATCAACAACTGCACAGAAAATTCAAAAATACCTCTAATAAGAAAACAAAAAGAGGTCACATCCTAAGCTATGTTTCAGTGTTTGTTTCTCAGTTGAAAAATAACCAGGAATGCTATTACTTTACAGAAATAGTCAAAAATAATTACTACCCTCAATCCCTCTTAATGAACTTCTGTAAACGAGAACCAGAAACCCAATTCCGATGTTCCCCAGTGGGGTGCATGACCGCCGCGCGCGACAGTGGTCCATGTCTGCAACTTGTTGTTGTCAGACTCCGCGAAGGACGGGCGCGAGGGGAATCTTAGGAAGAGGGAGGACACCGTCATCAGGGCTCGAGTTGTCATGGGTTTCATCAGAGAGCACGGGCCGGCTCTTAGCCTTTATCGACGGTTCTTTGTCGCCCACCCCTCTTCCGCCTCCGTCGCGGCGGGCAGTTCCAGTGTTGCGCCACCCCCGTCTCAGTGGCAAGGCCGGGAGCTTGTATACCCTGCGCAGACGAGGTTTGTCATTCACTACTTGATCTTGGAGAGGTTGTTGGATCGTTGCAGAGCGCTTGAGGAGGTCCATTTTTTTGCAGGTTAGGTGGGTGCGTCATCAGGTGCGGTACGCGCCACTCTGGGAGCACGTGGAGGACATTGTGGAGCTGATGACGCCTGTGATGCAGTTGCTACGGCGTTTGGACAGGGGGGGACGAGTGATGACTCGCATGTGGTTGTGGGCTTAGCCATGGTTGATAGGGTGGCGAGAGCGAGCCTGAATAGGACGTCGAAGGACGAGTTCCACATCGTTGTTCAGGCTTGTCAGGCGCGGGTCGCTCATATGTCGGAGCCTGCACATTGCATGGCCCACCTCCTCAACCCGCGGCACAGGAGCATTACGTTTTTCAGAGCGGCGAGGCGTACCGGGCACGACAAGGCACTGACAGACGAGTCTCTGCGATACCTTCGCCAGCAGACTGGTAGTGACGAGGATATGTATTAGACGTTGCACGGCAACTGGCGGAGCTTCATTGTTTGAAGGGCGATTGGATGTATGGAGCGGTTGAGGGAGACAGGGACGCGGCCTGCTGCAGAGGGGAGAAGGAGACGTCACAGGTGGGGCATTGGTGGGTACAGCACGGGGACGGGGTCCCTCTTCTTCAGAGTCTCGCCATTCGCTTGACGCACACATGGACATGCGCCTCTCCAGCGGAAAGGAATTGGGTCGTCCATGAGTGTGTTCAAGTGAAGAGGCGTAACCAGCTTGGTTTCATCAAGCTGACTCGTTTGGTGGAGATATCCACCAACTTGAGATTGAGTCGTTGTCAGGGGACGGGTTCAGGGTACGTTCTTCCATGGGAGGATGCTGAGGAGGAGACTGAGGACGCTATTCCTCTGCCTCGTGACGAGGGTGTTCAGCTAGCCGACCGAGTCACGGCGGCACAACGTGAGCGGCAGGTCCAGCACGGGCGGAAGGATCGCCTTTCGAAGGCACCGCCCAATGTTGAGACTTATTTTGGTCATCGCGCCACAGTGCTCATGTCGACTGAGTTGGAGTCGGTCTACGATCCCGAGCCTCATCCTATGGCTCAGGACTCGATGGAGGCTGAGTCGTGGTCCGATCCGGACGACGTGGCCGTGGAGTCAGAGCCTAGAGGTTCTGATGACGATGACGACGACACTCCTCCCATCCGGATACCACGTCCTCACACACGTGCGTCCACGGCGGCCGCTGCACCGTCTCCCACTGCACGCCCTCCTTCGAGTACTCCTGAGATCCCGCTGCGAGGCCCGGGGGACCGTGTTGTGGGCACGACGCCACACCCTTCGACCGATCGTCGTGGACATGGTGAGCAGGGGACTCGCGAGTGTGTTGAGGAGGGAGACGATGGCGACGGCGACGATAGGGAGCGTTACGAGGGCAGCAGTGAGGATGAGGATGATCCCGGCTATTCCACGACGCGTCGACATGGTGACGACGATGACGAGGGCGGCAACGGTACACAGCCTGCGGGTGGTTTGCGAAGGTCCGAGAGACAACGTGGTGACCGATGCAGTGGTACAGGCAGGGAAGGCAGCGGGCCGGGTGTTGGGGGTGCAGGGCACACAGGCGGTGCAGGCCGTGCTGGCGGAGGAGGAGCGAGGCGAGAGTCTGCATCATCCACTCGCACTGTGTACTGGGTTGATGAGTGGAAACGCATCCTGTCGGCTGAGGTCACTCCCTCCCCTACCGAAGTCGCTCCCTCCCCTGCAGAGTTTGCGGCGGCGTCTGCGGAGGGCGCAGGCAGGTTTGCAGATGTTGGTGGCGAGGGTGTACAGGTTGGGAGGTCATTTGCACAGTTGGGTGCCAGTCTAAGCGACGATATTTTTGATGTTTCGTTAGGGCTTCCCCCGACACCGGCAGGGGAGCGTGTTAGTGGTGATGCGGACGCAGCAGCTACGCCCGTCAGTCAGATACTTCAGGGTATGCCTTCATGCAGCGTGGGTGACATCAGTAGTAGCATGTTGCAGGAGGCAGCAGAGGGGACACAGGGTTCGTCGGGGCAGCATGAGCGTGCAGCAGGGGATGATGGGGAGTGTCGACCTGCGCAGGAGCGGGCGGCGCAGGACAGGATCAACCGCGAGGAGAGGAGGAAGGCGCAGGATTGGCTAGCCGCTGCAAGATGACACAGAGTATTGCGTCGAGGGCACGTGCATAGCGGATGCTCGAGACGGGAATTGCGGCAGGTGATGTAGAGGTCGAGTATGGCGGTGCTGGCGGAGGGGATGCATGCGAGAGACTTGCGTCACCAGTTCAGGGTGTTTGCGTATTGCCTCTCGGTGGGGCCATGTCGGCGGGGGAGTTGGAGCGGCAGGCACGGGAGGACCCATTGCAGGCAGATTGTCGTGGACGGATGGATGAGGCGTCGAGGAGGTTGATGGCAAAGGGTCCAGCTTACGTGCCTTGCAGCCCGTCAGTGCCATCCTCCATCACAGATGTCATCACACCCGCACATGCGGAGGGTCCAAGCGCGACACGGAGTCCCCCATCGGCACCTGCTGGGGAGTCTCCATCTCCTCGGTCACGGAAGAAGAAGATGAGAGCAGGGAAAAGTCTTAGGACGAGGAGGAGGGTGACGCAAACGATGCAGGGGAGTCAGCCCGGGTTGGCCGGTTTACATTCGCGGACTCGGGCGGCTTTGGGCGGGGACGTTGCCGCGGACCTAGTAGGTTGGCAGGAGAGGGTCTCCACCCTCGTGGCGGAGGAGCCCATGACCGCACCTGCTGAGGCGACGCTGCCACGTACTGGAGGGTGTACAACGGGTATGGGGGACCATGGCGAGCACATTGCCCCCCCTGGGAGGAGCATGGTTGGACGTATATTGCGGGAGGATGTGAGGGCAGTGCCTGCGCAGCGGCCGTCAAAGACATCAGTAGTTTGGGAGTCTAGCACAGACGATTTGGAGATGCCTCGTGGCCAGCGGAGGAGGGTTTCCGTGTACGACCTTCTTCGAGCACAGGGCGGGGTTGAGGCGGCGCCATAGAGGGAGATTCCTGCTCCGGATATTGCGCACGCGCCGACAGGCGGCACATGTGGTGGGGATGGTGTCATAGGTGTGGTGCCGCAGAGGAGGAGGAAGAACATTGTGGACGATAATGATGCATAGTCCTACTATTAGTCTTCTTTCATCCTCTATTTCGTAGTATTGTATAGTATATTTAGTGCTTTGGATGAGGTCATGTGTTCGTAGGTGTAGTCTGTGCAGGTCGTCATGACTGCATTTGTATTCGTACAGATGGTTAGACTATTGTATACTATTTTCATGCACGGGTGCAGTTTGTTTTTCTTTTTCGTTTTATTTTTCCATCGTAGTAGTGTATAGTATATTTAGTGCTTCGGATGAGGTTATCATGGTCATTTGTTCATCGGTGTAGTCAGTGCAGGTCGCCATGACTGCATTTGTATTCGTACAAATGGTTACGGGCGCAGTTTGTTTTTATTTTTCGTTTTATTTTTTCATCGATGTTTCAGAGGATTGCACTGTGTTAGAGTATTTCTCCATACATGGGTGCAACAGGTGCAGTGCTCACAGTTTCCTTTTTTGTTTCTCATTTTATTTTTGTATCGATGTTTCAAACGATTCCACAGTTTCTTCGTACATTATTTGACTGAGTCCAGTGTCCATGTGTTTTTTATTGTCGTGTATGTACGGTGCGTCTATTTCGTCGTGTTCTTTCGTTGGCATGTAATGTTATACTTTCAAAACTTGTGCAATGATTGTTACTCGGAGTTGATGGAGAATGACTCAATGGTTTTGAAAATTGTGTTTAATTGTTGTTGTTTTAACTCATGAACTTCATGCAGTCTTGTACTTGTTTCGTCGTGTGTTTACTTCGCCTTTGTTGCATTTGTCTGCAACCCCGACAGAACCCTCCCCAACCCCCAAATACGACCTTGGCAAAGCCTTCCCGAACCGCTCCCCCCCCCCCCCCCCCC